AGGTGGGGATGCCCCTGCACGTGAAGTGGCCGTTCCCCGCGGTGCCGCCGCTCACCTGGACCCTGGCCAGCAGCGTCGTCATGGGCTTGGTGGGCACCTACAGCTGCTTCTGGACCAGTGAGTGGACCCAGGCCGAGGCAGGCCCACCTGGGTACCTATGCCCGGCCGGAGATGGGACTTAGGGTGGGGGACGCCGCGGCCCCGACCTGGTGGGCGAGCCCTGAGCGCCTGACCTCTCCTTTCCCACCAGAGTATATGAACCACCTGACCGTGCACAACAAGGAGGTGCTGTACGAGCTCATCGAGAACCGAGGCCCGGCCACGCCCCTCATCACCGTGTCCAATCACCAGTCCTGCATGGACGACCCTCATCTCTGGGGTACCCGGGCCAGTGTGCTGGGCAGGGGGAGGAAAGGCGAGGATTCGCGACGGCCCCAGCCTTGTCAGAACAAACCCCTTCCCGCTGCCTTTTCATGGAGCCCTGGCACTCTGGTTTCTGGGTGTTCTGCCCCAGGGCTGAAACTGATTTGTGACTCCTGCAGCATCCTCTGAGGGGGCATGATTTGCAGAGGGCCTTGGGCATGGAGCAGGACCAAGGAACGGCCACAGGGCAGGTCTTACAGCTCCTTTAACGTCAGTCCTGGAGAACCCTCTGTTCTCTAAACCATCCAGGGCCCCACAGTCTTGGGAAAAAATTGGGGGTTGAACATAAGATGTCCTGTGAGGAAGTTCTGGGCCAGGGACTGGAAGCCCAGTGTCCTGGCTCCAGGTTTGCTCCTGGCTGGGCGGGTACCCTTCAGCCCTATTTGGGAGCCTGGTTGCCACACCTAGAGGTTCCTGCTCTGCTGACTTCACAGGAAGTTACTTGGCTCTGGTAACCAGATGGCTGGGTGGAGGGATGCCCAGGGCTTCCACTTCTGAACAGAAGGGTTAGACTGTCCTAGAGCTCGTGGGGAACCACCTGGCCGCACTGGAGCCCTTCAGAGCTCATCCTGGCTGCTGGGTGGAGAAAGGCCTATAGATGTCACAGGTGGATCCTGGGAGGCCAGGAAGGAGGTCTTTGAGCCATCCACTACCCTAGACTGGGCTGGTGGCAGTGACAGTACAGGGAGAAGTATAGAAGAATGGGCATTGTCCAAGTATGTTGGGGAAGTAGGCAGTCCAGGTGCAGTGATTAGTAAGATGTGGAGGGTGGGGGAGAGGCAGGAGCCAGGGAGAACTGAACAGTCTCGCCTATGGGTCTGAAAGATGCCACTCAGGGCTGTAGGGAAATGGTAGTGCTGCTGTCCTTGTCCCTCATTCCCTGAAATGGGGTGAAGGAAGGGCACTCCCTGGGGATATGGGAAGTTGGGGCATGAAGTCTTTCCTCTCCTCTAGGGATCCTGAAACTCCGCCACATCTGGAACCTGAAGTTGATGCGTTGGTGAGGAGGAATGGGCCCCTCGAAGTGGGCCGGGCCGGCCCCACCTGCCTCTGCCCAGATTTGCCCTCCTCCTGCTCTGCCCAGGAGGTGGCGTCCAGCAGTCCAGGCAGGGCATGGGGTGGGGCCCCACAGGCCCTCCCCTGTGCCTCCCTTCTGCATGCCAATGCTGGGGGCAGGGTTGTCGAGCGGGGTGCAGGGGGCAGGACTAATTGCATCTGTCCCTGCTCAGGACCCCTGCAGCTGCAGACATCTGCTTCACCAAGGAGCTGCACTCCCACTTCTTCAGCTTGGGCAAGTGTGTGCCTGTGTGCCGAGGTGAGCTGCTCCTCCAGCGAGTGCAGGGAGGCACTTCTGGGGCAGGAAAGCTGGTCGCCAGTGTCTCTGTTTTGGAGGGACCTATGGGGGCAGGCAGCCCGGGAGCCAACATGAGGCCCAGCTCCATCACATGCCAGCAGAGGAGGCAGAGGCTGCAGGAGGAGGGATGTCGAGCGGGGTGCAGGGCTCAACTCTCTGCAACTGCCCAGGGATCGTGTGGACCTGGAACCTTGGCATTAGAATTCAGGGAGGTATTATCCACACCCCCTTATCTCAGACACGTCACTAAGAGACTCATTGAGAACAGTGCATTGTCATTGGTCCATGGTGGCAGTAGCATGCACCTGCAGGCCAGAGGGATTTGCTTCTAGGAGAACAAACAGGCTTGTGGGGTGAGAACCCCAGGAGATAGGGGCCATTTTGATCCCTATTCAGGGAGGATCACAGAGATTAAGCTGCTGGCCCAAGGTCATGGGGTAGGAGGTGGCAAAGCCAGGATTTGAATCCAGATTGCTCCTCCCTCTGCGGGAGCAGAATTTTTCCAAGCAGAGAATGAGGAGAAAGGTGTTCTAGACACAGGCAGGCACATGCCAGGTGCTGGAGAGAGAAGAGAGAAAGGTAGGCTGGGCACAAGCGGTTCACACTTGTCATCCCAGCACTTTGTAAGGTCGAGGTGGGAGGATCACTCAAGCCCAGGAGTTTGAGACCAGCCTGGGCAACATAGTGAGACCCTGTCTCTTTAAAAATAAACATATTTTAAACAGAAGAAAGGTAGAAAATATAAGTTGTATGTAGAATATGAAGGTTCTAGAATAATCCTATTAAGAATTTTGGATTCTATCTGGCTGCATTGGTGCATGCCTGCAGTCCCAGCTCCTCAGGAGGCTGAGGTGGAAAATCACTTGAGCCCTTGATTTTTTTTTTTTTTTTTCCTTGAGACAAGGTCTGTCTCTATGGTCCAGGCTGGAGTGCAGTGGCATGATGATGGCTCACTGCAGCTTCTGTCTCCTGGGTTCAAGTGATCCTCTCACCTCAGCCTCCTGAGCAGCTGAGACTAAGGAGTGTGCCCAGCTAATTCTTTTTTTTTTTTTTTTTTTTGTAGAGTTGGGGTCTTACTACATTGTCAGGGCTGGTCTTGAACTCCTAGACTCAAGTGATCCTTCCACCTCAGCTTCTCAAAGTGCTGGGATTATAGACATGAACCATTGTGCCCAACTGAGGCCAGCCTGGACAATATAGTGAGACCCCAGGTATGGATGGATGGATAGATCCATAGACAGACAGACCAACCAACCAACCCGACCTGGGCAATATAGTGAGACCCCAGGTATGTATGTATGTATAGATAGATAGATAGAC